CTTCACATTCTGGCCCATACTGCCTTTACCCAGACCAGCCCGATGGCTCCTGTCTGTTTGTCAGAGATGCCTTCATCCTTGAAGCTCTGGGGTTTTTCAGTCATGCCCTGTTCTGTTGGGTCTTAATGGTTCCAAGCCACTGGAGACTCAGTCTCTGCTATATCATCTCTGCATTAGGTTTTGTTGTGACATTCCATCCCTATCCATTTATAACCTTCACAGCAGCCCTTGTATGTCATATATTTATAGCTGTCAGTCTTGTAATGCTGCCCTGGTACAGTGTAGGCAGCCATCATCTCTTCACTCATTTATTAAATATACAAAATGTGAAATTTCAATTAAACCATAGTTTTTTGTCCTAGGTATACATGGATAAGGGTCCCTACTGCTAAAGAGGTTTCATAGGCAAGCAGTTAAGTTTTATGATGACAACCAAACCAGGAGTTGCTTAACATGCTGACATATGACATTTATGTATATAGTGTTTGTTAAAAAAAAAAGAAGAAGATTACGGCCAAGAGCAGTGAATCGTGCCCATAAACCTAGCATTTGGGTCACTGAGGCAGGAGGCTACAAAAGTGGGACACCGTCTCAGTCCTGCCTCAACTTGATGTGCCATGCTTTGTTCAAGCCCAGGGGAGGCCTGCCCCTTTCTGAATGAAGGACAGAATTAAATGGATCTGGGCAGAGGCTCCCTTTCTACCATTCATTTGTTGTGACTTGAAAAGTAAGTTATATTTTATGAGCATAGTATCTCTTCATTTGGTGACTGAGAAACGTGCACAAACCAGACAAAGTCGACAGAACTGTGCCCATTACACAGAAGTGCTTGGTAAAACAGCTCTCTCTTGTTTTCCTACCCACCTTTTCCATTTCCGTATGGATGCCTCAGCTGGAATGTTCCTTCCAGGAAGAGAGCTACAACTTGTCACATAAAACCTTTTTATAGTCAAGAGATTGCAAATGATAGGGCCTCTCAGGCACTCTCATCGGGTTACTAAACTTAACTTGTCCTTAGCAGTCTCGTGACATGAAAGCAAGCACTTCCTTTGCTCCTTTGATCCCCCCTGGGAATAGCGAATTTGTGATTATTCCCCCATCATAACAATTTTGAATATTATTGGATGGAATATGCAAATGCTAAAATGGTCATATTGTTTTAAAGCAAAACCTCCTGTTGGAACTCATCAGATTTTGATATGGTTTGTGTTGAAATTTTACTTCATCAGAAAAGGATATCCCTTATTTTGTTTATTCTGAAGTCATGTAGCTTCCTGGTAGGATGTGTAGACTCTTGCAGTCATCCTATTAGCCTCAGAGGCTGCCCTGGCACCCGCTAGCTTTGCACTTCTTCCATGGAAAGTCAGCTATTTTCATAGTGTCGCCACTGTCGTTAGAAGAATCTGACTCTAAAATCCTGGAAATTCCTTCCACTCTCATACCTCAAAAGTATTACCATTAACCTGACTTCCTGTTCTGACAAAATGTGTGTTTTACGTTCCTTTTGGGTTTCCAAGAAAAGGTAAAGTAGAAACGTTTGGGAAGAATTTCCTAAGTGTGCATAGTAAGGTGAGAGGAACTTCAGCTGATGATGATAAGTTGTCATGAGCTTGAGTCACAGGCAGGCTAACTCTCCACAGTACGCTCTTACCTGAGTTTTGATGGTGTTGTGGTATCACTAGCTTCTGCGAGTTGTTTTCTCCATTAAAGTTGGTAGCATAGGGGAAAAATATCAACCTTATGATGAAAGAACCAAAAATATAGGAACAGTGGAGATGAACACATTTTGTTTGGCTCAATAGTTTCAAATGGCAACAATTATCCAAATGCTTTCTACTGAAAGATTGTGGGGCTGGAGAGGTTGCCCAGTGTAAGAGTACTCCTTGCTTTTCCAGAGGACCCAAGTTCAGTTTCCAGCACCCAGTGACGCACAACCACCTGCAACTCCAGCTCCAGGGACCCGGACACCTGCTTCTGAGCTCCTTCAGTGCCTGTACTCACACACACACACACGACACATGCGCATGCATGCCTACAGGCATGCCCGCGCATGTGTGCGCATGCGCATACACACACACACACACACACACACACACACACACACACACAGAGCGAACTTTTGAAATCCCTTTAAGGTTCAGATACTATGTTTTATACTCCCATGTATCTGAACTAAAAGTCTGTTTCCCTGCAACCATAGTCCACTCTTTGATTCTGCTGCCTCCTGAAGATTCCAGATGGGTAAGCCTCTGCCAGTTGCTGTATTGTGAGTCTGCTGTAGCCCCTTCCATTCATTCCACCTCTACTTCTGGTGATGAATAATGTTTCTTTCTTGACTATATAACACAGGGAAAATTAGTGTTCATCCAGTGAGTGAGTCTGTGGGCTGCTGAATTCGAGGACCTCCGCCTCTGGATGCAGACATGGAATCTTGTCATTTCTTAGTTCCTGATATAAATTTTGCCCCTCCTAGAATGCTGTTCCAGTAGAGGGCTCTAGTTGACTTTAATATATTATGGAGTAAAAATCATTGGGAGGTTTTTTGTGTTTATTTGAGATAAACTTTCAACATGATGTTTCAAACAGTCCCTCACTCCCCTCCGCCCCCAAATATAATTACAGAAGCTTGGGCATGGCTAACTGTCCTTTTGTCTGTCTGTTCCGAAGCCTAGCGGTCTTATGGGAACTACCTTTCCTTAGCAACATAAGCACAAATACACATGTACACGTGGTATACACAGGCAAACTCATGTGCGTTTGTGTGCCTGTGACTGAGCAGGAGCACACGTGTCATATGTGTGTGGAAGTCTGAGGTAAGCATCTGTTGCCTTCCACTGTCATTATGAGACAGAGTCTCTCCTTGAGCTTGCTAGTCAGTCACCTGTTAGTCAGCTTGCAAGTCAGCTAGACAGGGTGGCCTCTGATCCTCCGCCTTTACCCTGCACCCACTGACAGGATATCTGACTGCCTATTGCTGTCCCATAAACATTTGTTTGAGAAATGATACATGGATGTAAGTGATTTTGAGGGGGAGGGGCCTTCTTTAAAGGTCTCTCACCTCTAAAGAAAGTGCACTGTTTGTACTTCAAGACTAACTGTTTCAGCTCTATTCACAAACCCAGTGTTTTTTCCTAGAGTGCACTAGTATTACCTCAACCACACACTGGATCTGCGTCTTCATAGTGATGGAGGCAGAATACTGTGTGTGAGTTTCATAACTCCTTGTCCGAAGACTTTTGTGGAAGAGTCAGCGGGAAGCAGTGAATGTAAAGTAAGCCAGGAAGGGAAGGAGGAACGATTGGAAGCCCTGCACTGCACCCGAGGACATTCTTATCTGCCTTTGAGTCCCAGCAGTACACAATCTGAGCTGGTTTCATTTCCTTCTTTGAAAAATGGAGATAAAAGACAATGCCTGTTTTATAGCATTTATTGAGAGGACGAATGGGATGTACATCTTCCTAGGATAGTGCTGATGCCTGGCCACTCTGTGCTTTGGGCTGCATCTCCCATGTTCTGCACCAACTTTATAAGCTCCACTTTGGTCTGACGGTCTGTTCTTTGGAAATAAAATCTACTGTCAGTGCACTGACAGTGTGCACGCGCTTGGTCTGCTGAGGAGCTCCTACAGGGAATGTGAGGGAAGGCAGACAAGGGGTGGACAAGAATACAAGTGCCTTGTGCTTTTCCGTTACTGTCACGCCATTTCCAAATGGAAAGTTAGAGGCTGAAGGAGAGGAAGGCAGATCAAAGTCAGCTCTGGAGAAAATCATATAGTTTGAGAATAGTGTCAGTTATTTACATTGACCAATTTCAGCCTCCACTGTTACTTCGAGGTAGGCTCCTCCTGTTCGGGAAGAGGAAAGACCCTTAGCTGAGGAAGCAAAGAGTACGGTGGAAACATGTGGAAAAATGGTGATGTCACAGGCAGCACTCAGTCCCTAAGCAGGCATGTCTCGTAGTAGCATGGCAGCCAGCCAAATTTACAAACTTATCAATTGGGAAAACAAATATGAGGAGTATTTGGTGTCTTTATTGCTGGCAAATTCACACAGTGGACTTTTCAGTCTGACAGGACTGTGGGAGGATAGGAACTGGTGTTTAAAACACTGTCACTGAAATTGGAGGTGTGAGTTGTAAGACTGTGGGACAGCATGCCCTTACCTGACTGGACAGTACATACCCAGACTTGTAACTGAGTCAAGTTGAGGACCTAGGTGGAAAGGTGAATTACAGGAGGGAAAGCCAGTAGAAATAGTACGGGGGGTGGACAGAGAACGGAGTAAAAGGTGGGCAGCAGCAGGAGTTGGTCTACTTAACTAGACTTCCGGGACCACAGGCTAGTTACAAAGAAAGCAAGCTGAGCGGGGAGCGGGGATGAAGGACTGAGGTCAGGGGGGTTCCCAGGTGTGAGCAAAGAGAACAAAGAAAAAGTCTGGGCATGGAGAGTCATGCAAGAGTCTGACATAGATTCAAACCAGTCTGGAACATGGACAGAGAGAAAGGAATGACCCTGAGCCACCTACAACTAGGAAGTGCGAGCATCTTGGAGGTGGCTACGAGGTGACTTGAGTGCCCTGGTTGCAGCTGGCCCAGCCTGACCCTGTGAGGTTGGCGGACCAGGGCAGCAGAGCTGCTCTGGGGTGGGGGAAGGGTGCTGGGGGGAGGGGGGCAGAGAGGGAGGTGTGCTCAGTGTTTGGTGATGTCATTGCAAGTCAGTGCGCGGTGAAATTTAACACCAGCCGGATTTACTAGGCTCCTCTTCTTCCAGGCAAAGCGGCCGGGCGTTGCAGTCAACTCAGAGCGAGCGCCTGCAGTGGCCACCAGCCCCCTCGCACCAACTTGATTTCCCAAGTGGGTGTGTGTGCTTGTTTGACAAATGTTTGGGCGCAGGCTGCTCCTGGGGACTTCCTCCCCTACTCCTTCACCTCCTTCTTCCCACCCCCACCCTCCACCCTCCACCCCGCCTTTCTCCTCCCAGGCCCAAAGCAGAGCGCTCCACGGGAGTCACTGAGTCTCCTTTGAACCGCAAGTGAACTCCAGGGCTGCGCTCCCGACCCTGCTCCGCTGTTGCTGCTGGCCCCGCTGTCAGGGTGAAGTCTCGCTCACCTCTGGTACCCCAGGGGAGCGCGACCCCCGAGACAGCAAAGGCACGGAGCATCTTAGCTCTCTTCCCCCGCTGGGTGCCGCTTCCTACCCCTACACCGCTTCATCCTCCTACCCCGCCCCACCCCCCCATTTTACGGGTCGGAGCATGGTTTTCATGTGACTTTCCCCCCTTTTCATGGACAGTACCTGCACTTTTAGCAGTTCGGAGCTGGCTTCTGCTTCCCGTTAGTGCTTTGCCGCAGGGACAAATGCATACAAATGCATTTAGGAGCCTACAGGACAAGGCAAGGAAAGGTCTCCCCTACCACAAAAACGTAAGTAGCGCATCCGCCGGCGGAGGGGGGAGGAAGGGGCTTTAGACCAACCCCCTCTCTCCACCCTCTCTATCCACCACGGAGTTGGAGATCTGTGGTTCTGCTCCTTGGTACTTTTTGGCGCTGGGAGCGGGTGAGCTGCCGTGGCATCCTCCTCTTGACTTCTCAACTTGTAAAATACCGTGTTTGAAAGGAAGCAAGCTTCTGCCAGAGAGTCTCAGTTTATGCTAAAGCGATCCTGTGGCTAGGGAGGAAAAGCTTGCTGGCCTGCGTCCCAGCATCCCCTAGGCCACAACCCCAGGCAGTTTCTGAGCGTCTCTGACACCCGCTTGGCCTTCAACTCCAACTACCCCAGCGCTCTCCTCCGGTCTCCTCTTTCAGTCTTGGCTGAAGTCCTGCTCCCAGCTGTCTCAGGGCTCCCAGCCTGGGCGATTGCTAGGATTCTAGCAATCCTCTGCGTTCTGCAAGCACGGTTTTGGGACTAGGTTGCCAGGTGGTGAGAAGGGATGACTACCGAGCCTAGAAAGTAGGGAACTGCTCAGCTCAGGGGGGTCTAGGGCAGTCACCTCTTTTTTTGAAGGCAAACAGACATAACTCGAGCATCTGGAGTTGAGGCTGAGTCCTGACATGAGGTCTCTCAGTGGGGAAGCGGTGCTTGCAGCCAGGATAGGTTTGGATGCGGGGAGGGGAGAGTAGGGTGTGAAAGCGCATCTACCTTCCCTGATAGAGCTTGGGCTGGCCCGTCTTCTCTCTGCACACCATACCTGCTCCTATCCCCACACTGGGGAAAAGCGCGATGACTCTCAGCCTTGATTGCCCGTCTGGGCGCCCCTTACTAGAGGCCAATGGGTTATACAAGTTTGCATTTGGCCCCTGAGATGGAGGAGGGAGGGAAGGAGGGCGGGCGGGAGGGAGGGAGGGAGGGAAGAGGAGAGGAAGACTGCTGAGTTGTAGGGAGGAAGAGGAGGGCAGAGCTCAAGCTGCCCAAGCCAGCTGAGCGCTGGTGGAGGCGGAGTGGAGAAAGCCCTCCTTGTGGTGTTGCTTCTGAGCACATGTGGTCCTGCAGGGTCTGACGCGTGCGCTCTGCTCTAACCTCTGCGAGCTTCATGGGTGACTGTTCCCTACTTCGGGGCAATTTGCACCTCCAGGCACACCCCCCTTTTCCAGGAGACACAATCAAGTCTATAGGACTTAATCATGACTCTGCCTCATGGTGCTGGGAGCCCAGTAGTTCCCAGATGCTAGAAGCTCTCCCTGTGACCTTCCCAGAGAGGCTTGCTCAGATCCAGGCTTTTAATCTGGCTTTTCTTGATAAGCATCCCACTGAGTAATGGCTTTTCCAGGCAGAGTGGGGCTCAGATGTATCACATCTTATAGAACTGAATGCTTCTTACAGGTTGATTCCTTCGGGCTTTGGAAGGCCCCCCAGGTTCTGCTCAGACTCCAGGGCCCAATCTTCTTGCCAACTCCCAACTCTAAGGCTTTCCCTGAGTCCCTGGTGTTGTTTAGACAATCTGTTTGGTACTCTGTGACGCTGCAGAAGATAAGTTTTATAAAAGACCTAGATGAGTAATTCTGGCCTCTTTGTGAGCTGTGCCTTGCATCTAGATCTGATATTGGAATGTATAACTCTGAAAAAAAAAAGAACTTTATAACTCTGGGTGAGAGATGAAATAAGGACCATCTCATTTTTATTCTACAAAAGCTTAGCAGTATTCTGCCATTCATTTACTTGCCATTTATTCATTTCTTCAACAAATATTTACTGAACATCAGCTGGGGAGAGTCCGCCCTGGTCCCAGGTGATAGGAATAGAACGGTTGAAAGAGAATACAATCACTCCCCTAACAATGTGCAGCGTTCAGTAGAGGAGCAAAGGAAACGGGAATGATAAAGGTGTGTGTTCAGGAAGGATACCCGGAAATCCTGAAAAGGTGGGGGCTGAAGGAGAGAAGGGGACAAGGGGAGGGATGGCCAGTGGGGTGGAGGGGGCATGGAGGGAGAGGCTGAACGGTTCTAAGAAGAAGAAAGGTTCAACTAAAGGAAACCTAGGCAGAGACCAAAGCAGAGAGAGGATGGGATCTCCATACCCAGGCCGTCAAAATGTTCAGATGTGACATGGGGCAATCAGGGTACCTGAAGGCTTGGGAGACATAGTTTGAGTACCATCTCCAGGAAGAAGTAGCTGAAATGGAGGTACAGAGAGAAACAGAAGAGACTGAAAGAACTTCTGATCGTGTCACTTTTCTAGCTGGACGAAAGGAGGGCAAGGGGAGCAATGACTTCCTTGATCTTGGGATTAGGGAGCAGATAAGAAGTCAGACAGAAGTTTAGTAGAAATGAAGGACCGTCTCTTGGTCTTGGTGCCTGAAAGTAGATTCATTCATTCAAAACTCTTTAACACTAGCATGGGCCAGTTTAACAACTGCCTTGGTCTACTGGCTGGTGAATTTTTCTTCTTTTCCCACCGGTACTCCAGGCTCTTTGACTGCCTGACATCCTTAAGCATTACCCTCCCTGAATTCAGGAGTTGCTCAGGCATCTAGAATTAGACGTGCTCTGTAAGTCCTTCAAACTGCCTCCAGTTGACAGTCTGAGAGATTTCACTGTGGGTGAATCACTGACAGAGCTTTTCCCTTGGAATCATCCAATTTTGTTCCCATTGCTGGGAATGATGAAAATTCCCCTCAGTTATTTTGAGAGAAACAGAATTTTTTATTATTTCTGAATCTTAGCTGTTAGTAAAACACAGGACCTATAAAGCTGCCAGGACAAAGATGTTTTTGGCATAAAAGCCACGAACCAGGGGAGCTGTTGAAATGCTAGGTGTGTGTTACATGTATGTTTCTCACACTGCTTCACACTTCTCTGCTGATTTAAGAGGCCACCAGCTCATCAAAAAGTTTGCTATTCACTAAAGTTCGCAAGTCTTTCTTGCTATTGTAAACTTTGTCTTTGTAGCAATGAATGGTGGTAGCCCGGAGACACGTATCATAAATTCAAGGGATCTCATGAGTACCCTAAAGAGAGATTGCTGGCATTCTCCCAACAGGACTGGACTTTTATGACAAAGTTGAATAGCTCCTTAAGCTGCATCTAGGGAAACTCTCAGAAAAGGAATTAGTTCCTCGGATGTCTATTTTCCACCTAAATTTAAGCATTCACCTGGCTATTCTGGCTGGCTGTTTTGAATGTTGCTGATGTCACACTGACTAACTAAAGATCAGGCTAGCAGACTGAATGCAGGCACTTTTGGACTTTGTTAGACATCCCCAGATACTGTGTGGGCTGCTATTTTTGAATCTTTATTAAAATTTAGTGGCCATGACATTGAGTTCTTTTAGACTTGATCAGTTTTATTAAATGTCTGAGAATGCTGACTTCCATCATGTGCAGAAATTAATCTTACACAATAGTCCTCAAGCCTGTTTTGCACATTAGACCCACCTGGTGAATATCTGAAAATACAGGTAACATACTGTAGGAAGAGTTTCAGCCCTAACGTCCACTTGAGGAAGAGCTGGTGCAGTAGTGTACGGCTGTCACCTTAGTGCTGGGGAGGCAGAGACAGGAGGATGCCCGGGGCTTACTGGCCTGCCAACCTGGCCAAATTGGTGAACTCAAAGGCAATGAGAGACCCTGTCTGAAAATGCAAGGTGAAGAATAACTAAGGACAAAACAATGGGTGCCCATCTCTGGCTTCTGTACACACACAAACACGCATACACAAACATGACACACACACACATGTACCTTGTATGTGTCATAAGCATACTACAACCGGAACCTTTGTGAGAGCAGAGAGAGGTAGCCAAGCATCAGCAAGCTATTAAACTCAGAAGTGATTCCAGCATGCCATGGGAAATCCATCTATATCATACGAGCAGCTCTTGGACTTCACTTGTCCTAAAGCAGAAGAGCTCGGATGGTCCTCCACTCGGCATTATCGGCTTTGTGAGGAAAATCTTTAGAGTCCAATCTCACACCACGGTGCAGACTCCTGAGGTAGGGGTTGTGTGGCTTACCAGTTGTAAATGTCTAATGGCTTTTCTGTTTTTGTTCTTGTTTTTTTTGCCCCTTAGGAAACGGCTTCTTCGTTTTATTGTACTATGTGTGGTGTGCATTACTGTTCATGCACAGGGACAAGGTAAGGGGCATTATCTTGTTACTTGTTCTTTTTTTTTTTTTAAGAATATGTCTGAGCTGAGCATGGTAACCTTGGCATGTGGGAAAAAGAGACAGGAAGATATGGAGTTCCAAACAAGCAGGGGAGTGTTTTTCTAGTGACTATGGCATAATCTGTGACGAAAGCTGCATAAGGAAGGACGTGTTTATTTGGGCTCATGGTGTCAGGGTGCTGCCCATCACACAGGAGCTAGAGGCAACTGGCCCCATCCCACCTGTGTGCACATGCTCAGTTCGCCTTCTCCTTTTAACCCAGTCAGGACCCCAGCCAGTGGAGTGCTGATGCTCACATCTAGGGTGGATGCTCTATTAACTTAGTCTAGAAACTCGCTGACAGATACAGTCAGGAATTTATTCCCATGGAGACTCTAAATCCCACCTGGATGACAGTCAGGATTTACCATCAGGGACAGTCAGCCTTGGCTATCTATCAAGCCAGCAACCAGCCTGGGCTACATGTGACCCTGTATCAAAACAAACAAAAACAAACAACATTTCTGCTTGTTTGGGGCATCCAAGGCACATTCCTTCTAAGTCATCATAACCTGAAATTCAGCATTAGACAGTAATAGAAGATTATAGCCAGTGTCAGAAGGGCACAGGGTACCAAAAAACATCGATTTGGGGGATAATAGGACCTTTAAGAAACTACTCAGATCTTCCGTCTGTGAAATTGCTTACATTTTTAAGCAAAGTCTCTATAAAAGGGAAGTTTTGTACAGTGGAAAGGCTTTGCTTGTGACTTCATTTCAAGTGGGAGTTCCTGGGGGTGGCAGACTGTAACTGAATAACCTTTGCCCTTCTTGAAACAACACACGCATGTAATAAATGTTCCGTCTGGATTTGCATCATTCAGCAGCAAAATTTGCATATCAGTGGGCTCAGAACATTATTTAATTCCTGTGGGGTGGTCTAGAGAATAGTGTTTTGGTTTGGTCTACTAGCTCGTTGCACTCAGAAATCTTTGTATATCCCACTTTATTCATTTATTAAACAACATTTTAAAGTGTCTATTTCCCAATAAATATCCTACTATCCAATGATTGAAGTATAAATACAAAAATATCTCTGGCTTCAAGTGAAAATAAAAGTGGCTTTGTCAAAGGTTCAAAAATTTCTTCAAAGAGAAAATCCAGGAAGTGTGATGGCTTTTAAGACACTAGCAGTGTGGTCCCTAGGCTGTTTTCCTTATGTGTAGTTCCATGCAGCTGCCCATGTTCTGATACCATCAGCTTTTTGGTTTAGTAATAAACTCAAGGAGCCAGTTGTGACCTGAGCCCATCAGCCAAATGACAACATGAAAGAATGACAAGGAAAGAATTACAAATGAGATGAGTATTTGCAAAGAGAAGGCATGCAAAGGGAGGGATGGTCTTCTACCTACCAGACCAAAGGGGTAATGCGAGTAGGGGCTGCAGCTCAGTGGTTGACTGCTTGCCTGGACTTGCTGTGGATCTGAGTTCTGTTCCCAGCACTCACTCTGGTCTGCTCACAGCTGCCTGGGACTCCGGTTCCAGAGGATCTGACCCTTTTCTCTGGCCTCCAAGCCCACCTGCCTGCACATGGCATGCACACACAGGGACAAATACATTAAAATGGGGTGATATCAAAAAATTATGTTTTGTAGTGAGCACCATTATGACTTGCACACCTTAAGATGGTCAAATATCATTTTGAGCTGGAGGCTCAGTGAGAATCTCGAAGTGGGTCTGTGCTTGTGAGAGTGTCAGTGTAATTAATGCAAGCTCATGGCTTAAAGGGAAGTTGCACTGGGAAAGCAAATCTTTTCCTTTATCTACTCTGAGAGTCACTGACACCTTTTGGATTTAATCTTTGCTTTCTTAATAATATGATTAAGTATTTATTGACTTCCTATTATTGACGATGAAGTTTTAATGTTTTATATTGTGCTTATTCTTCCCCTCCTATCACCTCAATATAAATCCATGATTTCTTGGCTGTTATAATTTACCTATTATGTCCATATAAGTATTTTTGTCATTGACCTCTGTATACTTGCAGTTTTTTTTATTAACAATGCCTCAAGATTACTTACTGTTTGTTCTCATTGCTTTTATATTCATTCTATGCCATAATATTTGTTCATATGCTACAACATATTCTAAAATACCTTTGAAAAAAATTCTCCCCAAACACATCATGTTTCTTGAACATTTTTTAAATTTGGTTTTACCTTATTTTCCTGGAGGTGTAGTACCTTCTAGAAGCTCCATTTTGCTTGACTGTACTGTTGGCATCTCTCATCCATGTTTTATCCATTCTCTTGGAACTCACTTCTTTTGGTCCATTTCCTTGTCCATGTGATGTGCATGCCGAGCTGGGCAGTGTTACTGAGGAGTCATCTGTCTAACCCTCACATGGGAGGGGATTTGTGTACGAGAGTAGAGAATTTTCTTGTCAGATTTTTCTTCTCTGAAATTGAAAGGCTTTCATGGTTTTCGTCTTTTGGCTTTCAGGGCTGTTGTTAAAAATGATAGAGTAATTCTTGGTAGTTGACTTATGACCTGTTCTTTCTCTTGAGGTTTTTAATAATCATTTGTTCTTGACATTTTGAAGTTTGTAATAATGTGTCGTGATATGAGTCTCTTCGTTCTGTTGGGAACACAATGGGCCTATTCGATGTGGAAGCACCATTCACTTTCTGGAAAATTCCCTTTGCTGTGTCTGTGTTTCTAATGAATTCCATTTACCCTTCCATTTCTGTGGCATATTTGGATTTCCACAATCAAATTATTTATTTTCTTATGTTAAGACCCCATTTTCCATCTTTGTGTGAGATAAGAGCCCTTCTGAATTACTCTTTTGGATATTTCTGTTGATCCGAGTGTTGCCCCTCCCTCTCAGACTCCCCTTCTTTCTCATAAGAAGCAGCATCTCCTTCCTGCTTCCTGGGTGCACATCCTACTCTGACCTCACTAAGGGCAAAAGAAATATTTTGAATTTTTCTTCTTGCGCTATTTTCTTCCAGATATTCTCTGTTTTGATCTGAGTTTTATACTGAAGCCATTCTTTGAGAATCTGCAGTTGTCTCTGTTATCATTTCAAAATATGACAGTAAAAGTACACTTGGGAATTGTTTTCGCACAGGCCTGACAACTGAGATGTTTCATGAGAGGATGTTGGAGGGCAAGCCTGCCTGACTGTCTTTTTGTGACCCAAATGTCTGGACCCCTGCAAGGTCTTTAGAGAGGACCTCCTCCCCCTGCTTTACAAGTGTAAAATCATGGTGGTTACCACTGTTAGAGTTCAGTGATTAAAAGAGTCTGGGATGAAGGATGGCCATCTAATGTGTTATGTGCATTTTTCCTGAGTCCCTTGTTCTGAACATGGTGCTCCTACACTTTCTGCTGTGATTGGATCATATTTCAATGCCATTAATCTCTACTATCCTATTAGGGTCTCAAGGTTTTTTTATACAAATGCTTAGCTACTTTCTACTATCCCAACAACCCAATTTAAATCCCCAAGAATTCATTCTTGAGCCCTTCAGGACTTTCTCTGAGTTGACCTGTTGTCTGTGATTGTCTGCCTCTGCAAGCCCTTAAGAGTTCACTTTTTCAGCTCCTTGGTGCTTTTTAAAAAATCTAATGTCTTTGTCTGCTGCTGTCTCTTCTAATCACCCACTGCTTGTGTAGTCTTGAACCACATTTTCTTCTTTTCCTCAGAAAGATCTTGAAGATTGAATGGGAAAAAATCTATGATTTCTACAGTTTCAATTATTTCTTAAATTTTAACACAGCCAAGAAAAGCCATTTTCGCTATCATCTTAATTCTATATTTGCTTTCTAGCCCAGTGTTGGGTGAAACCTAGTGAGTAAGTGAGTCTGTTTCAAGCTAAAGTGACTTAGATAAGATGAGGTTTGCTGAGGATGTGCTGGTCTGGGTAGCTTCCTGATTGCAACAGTAACCCTTTCTTCTTGCTGTCACTGGCTGCCAATGAGATGTGGCAGGGAGATGTAGTGTCACTTCAGAGTGGGTCAAACTGGACTGATTAACTAATTGTCAAAAGGCATCATATCCCTGGTTCATGACCCTAAGTGTGACAACACATGTAGACACCGCTTATCTAGGAGAAGAGTGTCTGATGTGTACCTGAATCCAATGTTACATAGACACTGTTTATTCCAGCTACAGCGCCTTCACAGCCTTACACCAAGCACTTCATCAACAATTTTTAGATTTGACTTAAAGTTTCATTTCCCACTTTGTGAGTAAGTTTGCACTGATCCACTTATGCAGAATAAATGTGTTACTTGCATTAAGAAAACTTTAAAGAAGCAAGTGTTGCTTTTAACATACCCACGGGGCCAAAGGTGTTTAGGGACACAGGTGTTCTGGAACCATAGCCCAGGTCTATGTCCAGAATATACCGTCGAGTAGTTATGTGACCCTGAATGAATTCCTGAAACACCGTGAGCCGCATTTCCAATGGACCAAAATGAAGATAAGACTCACGTTATATGTGGTTTAGGGTGAAAGCAATGAGACACCGCACGTAAGGTAAATGCTGACAGTGCAATAAATCTTCCTAGAACGGAAGACCACAGTCTAGACCCACTTCTCTTCCCATATCCGTGGGGATTGGAAAAAGCAAAAGCAACTGATCGCAAATCATTTCCTTGAGTTCCTCAACTCAGTGACCTGGAGCCGGGAGGCTTATATTTGAGTCATGATTTTGGCATGTTTGGAAGTGACTAAAACAAACCTTGCAAAAATGAATATAAGGAGACTGTCTAGTTAATTTGGCCATGTTATACAAATTGGCAAGGAAAAGAGAAGTATGTTGAGTACTGTATAATCTTTCTTATAACTCTGGTGGTTTCATTTTAAATGATCACTTTTTTAAAGATTATTTTTATTTATTTATTTCTAAATGTCGTATATGCATGTGATGTATTTTGATCTTATCTGCCCATCTGGTACCTTCTTCAAACTCTTTCC